CGAAGCAAATGTCCTTAACTCGTCTCGTATAACTTCGTATAATGTATGCTATACGAAGTTATTACTCGGCGCATTCCTATCGATGATTCGATCTACTCGAATTATCGGGAACCAATAAAAATCCCATTTCAGCTCGTTCCACTTCCGCGTATCGCGTGACGTCGCTCGATTAAATCCACGTCTTGTTATCGCGTGCACTCTTTTCCTTTGTACGTATCCAATGTGCTGGAAAGGCCGCTATCGGTACGCGGGCTAGTCGCCGTACGGCGTACAAATAGATCATGACTACAAATTATACAGCGTCCGTCCGATTCGCAAGACGAGCGGCCGCTAAAAACGCGCTCGAGGCACAATTGCAATTAGGAGAGAAAAACCCCGAGATAAAACCTAACCGGCAATTCCAATTGGGGTCTGATAGTTATTTCACTCGTGTCAGTATTAAACGCCAACCTTTCGACTTTCATGCGACGTTACGCAATAAACAAGACGTATGACGGGCGATACGACAAGCGTGATACCGCCGTTGCATTCGCGTATGCAATATCACGTTGTACAATAAAATCCCGGACGAATGCAACGGAGAGCTCTACGCATGTTCGAAATGGTTAACGAACTGGCCGCATGCGCCCAAACGGCTAACGAGAATTCGTATGGATGAATTCGCCATCAAGAGAAACCGGGTAGAATGATTTCGATGGGTCCTATCGGCCATTCGATCTGCTCGAATTATCGGAAACCGATGAAAATCCTATTTTACTTGCGTCTCCGTACTCGTACGAATGCGTCGCGCGTTACCGAATTTCGGCTCTGACTCCACCATACTCCGTCGCCGCCCCGCCGTTGCGTCCCATCCAACCCTTGGCGATTGTCAAACCCGATTGTAATATCACCACCGTTGTGTTTCTCTCTCCCCCCCCCCTCAAAGGCGGTGCCATATATTTTTTAACGCACTCATTTGATCTCGACGATATGTATTTCGAGCGATGGAATCAAACGACAGGACGAATGAAGCATTTATCGTTAAATTGTATCACTAGTCAAAACTATTGTTTATTTGCAAATATTCTTCTTATTGTATATTGTATTGTATATTATATCTCGTTACATCGAAACGTAAGACGATACTACATTGTAATACATCGCACGCATTTATCTCGACAATTCGACAATTCCGATATGCGAGCGCATCTCGCACTCGGTTAACATTAACACCTCGCGTGATTTCTTCATTCGCGTATTTATGTCGCAGCGGCAATATCGGACGTTCGATATCGGGCTTCCCATTGACAAATCGAGTAGCGTATAAAAAATGGAATACAGACGGAGTTTATTACTGACGCGTTGCATTTTTTTAAGCTTCTCCATACAGACTGCGAAAGAGGGAGGGCGAGACGACGGTGGGGGTGTGGGGTGGTGCGCGTTTATCGCGATAGAAATTGTGGCCCTCGGCCAAATGTCGCACGGGGATAAAGGTCTAACCACTCGTTGGCGGAAAATACATCGGACTTGTGCACCGGTGCGCCGCGTAAATCCGAAAATTCATTACTGCAGTGCGCACCGCGATTGTTCGTAGTCGGCGTTCGTAGTCGGCCTGCGCGAAGCGGCGTCGCATTAATGGCCGGGCGTCAGGATTTACAGGAGGGACACCATTGTTGACAGGCAAATATAAAATTTTCACGACTCCGATAGAACCCGCCACGTGAATAACGATCATCGTCGAATTAATAACTGGATCGTGAGTTACGGTTACGGTGTATTTGGAGTGTAGACGGTCGCGACTCCCTGCGCTGCCGCGCCGCCAAATTTTCGCTGATTACGAGGCATTATGATAGCTATAATAATACACAATCGATCCAATTTATTACGTAATAACAAGCGCTATCACGTATCACGTTTAATTGTCAATATTAACGTGCGAAATTCGTGTGCTAAAAATGAATCGATATTACTTTTTTAATTATTAATTTCTAGTACAGTAATGATGTAAGTAGATATATTATAGCGTTATTGTAATGATAAACATCTATAAGAAATAAAAATTTATAAAAAATTGATTTTTCGTCTTTTTTTCGTCAGAAGGTGAGGATGCCGCAGAGGAAGAAGATTCGTATCTTTTGGAAGATGACGATGTACCTTCGGCTACGATAGCCAGCGATACCGAGCTCATTTCTGAAGGCGGTGGTCATTTACCAGTTTTCCTTACGGAACCCGTCAACTCTTTCGTCGTGAAAAACAAACCCGCCACTCTACGTTGCAAAGCCGCTCACGCGCTGGAGATCTATTTCCGTTGTAATAGCGAGAGAGCGAAGGACTCTCAGCAGCAGGATTTTGTGGATCCCCATACGGGAACGAGGATCGTCGACTGCGAACTCAATGTTACGAGGGATCACATCGAGGAATACTTCGGCAAGGATAAATTCAAATGTGATTGCATCGCTTGGTCTGGATCAGGGCAAATCAAGAGCCAGCCGGCAACTATCGATGTCGCCTGTGAGTACACATAATTTTTTCATGTAATTGTAAATGTCTTATTTTATATTGGTAAAATTTGTAAGACGACAGCATAGTAATATTACAGCATTCTCATTAGAGAATTTGTAATATTAGATTTAATCTTATTTCTCTTATTTCTAAGCTAGACAGTTATTATTCTTAATATAGTCAGAATATACGTGAATTTGTCGGAAAGGTTTGAAATAAACGTCGCGAGAGAATTCTGGGGACAGCCGACTTTTCGTTTCACTTTGTCTTTGTCCTCTCTTAATTATCTTGATTCTCCTGCCAGCGAACTCGTTATTTAATTCTGTCTCTTAATTGACGACAATGCAATGAGCGCCGACTTTCCAAGAGAATCAATTTAAAGAGAGAACCACTTGGCCAATTTTAAAGTTACATAATTCAAAAGCTAAACGTAAAAATACATTCGAAGAACACATATAGATCACCATTATTAAATAAGCTTACAAAGATATGAAGTATAAGAAAGAAAGGTTGTCAGATACCGCAAAAATATTCTTTCAATAATTCGAAATGAGTAAAATTGATTATTGATATTTTAAATTTAATATGCTCAATTATAAGTTTATCTTATTATTGTATTTATCAAAACGAGCGTGTACAATTATTTCTTTCAGACTTGAAAAAACAATTCGAATCGCCACCATACTCTGTCTCCGTCGAAGCAGGTCAGAGTACCGAACTTAGGTGCTTGCCTCCGGTGGGAGTGCCACCACCAAGAGTTTACTGGTTGAGAAATAATATCCCCGTGGATACCGAATCGGACACACTTCTGGTATCTAGTGAAGGTCATCTTCTTATTGGCCAAGCAAAACTTAGTCATCAAGCGAACTACACCTGCGTCGCCGAAAATATTGCAGCGAAACGATCGAGCGAGCCAGTCAGCTTAATAGTTTACGGTAAATTCACAATCAAGATTTGTTTTTATATAATTGCGTATATTATTACTAAAGACCCAATTATAAGATCGAAATATTTGATGATTTTCATTTATATTAATTATTGTTTTTATTAGTTTTATTTGATTTTATTATAACCGATTCAATACCTAAGACCGCCATTGTATTTTGGCTTTTATGCTCCTTTCTTTAATTATTTATTTTATTACGTATGTTTGTTTTTTTATCTTACATTTAAAAAGTATTTTTACTGGTTTTGATTAGTTAACGGTGGCTGGTCGTCCTGGTCGTCCTGGTCGGAATGCCATTCGCGATGCGCGAAAGGCGGTCAGAAGAGAACGAGAACGTGCACGAATCCAGCGCCCATGAACGGCGGTCAGCCGTGCCTCGGTCCCTCTCAGCAAAAGATGGATTGCAACTCGGGCTGCTCCGGTGAGTCCCTTGAATTCATTATCTGTCAGCGCGCGCGCGCGCGCGCGCATGAGATTTTCGACGAAGAAACTTCTCTCTACCGAAGAATCTCCTTGCCTGCCATCGTGTACCTCTTTGTTATATCCTAACCGACTACGACAACGTCGCTCAAGGTACTTAAGTTGTAAGCAAGTGAAAATGGTGTCTACCTCTTTCCTCTCTCTGAGTTAGTGTCGCGCAAATGCGATAGGCGAGTAGGTTTTCGCCATCGCAAGGCGATATTACCGATGCCGAAGAGAGAAGATTCTCACTTGATTTACGACCCGATCCCCTCTCGCCGTCCGTGTCCTCCTTCCTCGTCGAGCGTATCTATTGCACATGCCACACAGTCTCTACGTATATACTGTGAAGTCTCTTAAATCGTATTCACCTTTCAAAACGTTTGCGACATCTTAAAGGCACCTGTGGCTATCCTCGTAAAGAATATGCAGACTGCATGCAAATGACCGAGCCCATGGGGATAATGCCCGGGGAAAGTCGGTGTCCGCTTTATATCGCTGGTTAAGACATTGATCGATCTGATATTCTTTCGGCGTTTTCACGCGAGAGACACGTTAACTGCTCGCACTCACGTTGGTCAATGCACTCACGACGCACTTTTTATTCCCTTTAACGCTCGCTCGCTTTGGAGTAGCCGGGGCTTTGGAAGAATTCACTAACACCCTGGGTAAGTCCTTCACATGTGCATGAATCATGTCCCTCGGCCCGGAACGAAAATTAAACCGCGACACATACACGACCGCTTATACCGTGGCCGCGTATAAGGGCCTTTTAATAAAACGTAGTAAACCGTCAGCAAGTGCGCCGCGCTGTTTATCCGAGGGCGCTCAAGTGCCAATAAAGCAGCCGGCTCGGAGCGAAGGATTAGGGATGCAAACGGGTTTGGCGCGTTCTTTGGTTGGGCATCCTTCCCGAATCTTTTCTTTCTTCACACGCGTGATGATTTAAAGAAAAACGTGTCGATATAAGTGAATTACATAAAAGAGAAATATACGTCATTGTAAGAGCCGGTACAACAGCGATAAACGTAACCGAAACTGACAAGTGTAGTCTCCCACCAACGAGACCGCGGGGATTCATGCGAGTTACGAGCCCGTTTTGTTCTGTCGAACTTTTTTTATTATCGCTACACGCCAATTCGGATTCGTCTTAACGACTCTCTGAACGGAACGAGATCTCGATCTTGCTTTTTCTTTTGCCAGCCGTAGACGGACAATGGTCCAGATGGTCGGCATGGTCGGTGTGTGGGAACGACTGCACGCACACCAGGAGAAGATTGTGCGACGATCCGCCACCCAGCCACGGTGGACGGTCGTGCCAAGGCAGAGACATCAACGTGGCGAATTGCACCGGTGGCATGTGCAACGGTAAGTTACCGACCAACTTTTCCACGTCTTGATTGCGCCTTCCGTCCGTCGCAATCTTTTTGCGCGTCGTAAAGTTTCGATGAGCCACGAGCTCTCGTGTCGAGTTTTAAACGACGGGAGCGATACACTTTTCTCATTTCGCGTAAAATAAATATTTTTGTTTAATCTCTTTAATGTTAAATTTAACATATCCGTGGGGATTTCTTTAAAGTAAAAAGTTATATATATATATTTTTTTTTAAACAAACAGTAATGTATATTATTATTTAAAATTTTAACGCTGATTTCTTCATCATTTCCTTGATATTTATAGAATTAAGACTCAAAACAGTATATTGTTAGTTGTAACATAAAACAAATAGCAGATAAAACTAGCAGGTATACACCGCATCTGCAAAAGTAATTTTATCAATACTATCGAAATCCTTTAATTATCCAACTTACCGGCGCTTCCTTTTACAGTCGGCAACACGAAGGTGGGCGGCGCTCATTTAACCGAGGAAGGTGAGTTGGGCAAGCAATAAAGCATTTTCCCGCTCTTTTAATCTCCCTCGATCCGTTTCCTTTTACGATTTTACCTCGCGTCGTTTCTCGCGCCGCTCGTTCCTGGGCCGACCGCGCCGCAAAGAGAAAAGTTTCTCGATTAGATAAGCTACGATCTCTCTGCGATGTACGCGGTCCTCCTCCTCCGATTCGTTCCGGATTTGTAGACGCTCGCGAAAAATAAAACGAGAGAAGTGGGAGGTTCCCTCGCGTATATACGGGGCGCGACCGAGGCGTTCAACCGCGAAGCAAATGTCCTTAACTCGTCGTGCGACATTCTTGGATGGATTCTTCACGCCCGGTGCACGCCATTTATATTCCCGGCGACGCGGCGCTATACCCAACGATCTGATACCATTCAAATCAGATGTTTTATGCGCCTCGAAAAAGGCAGCAAAAATAGAGAGCGTGAATCCAGGCGCGGTGAACATTAGCATTATTCATTACTCTGGTATAATAACGCGAGTCGCGCGGCGCCCGCGTCCGCGCATCGGGCTCTTCGATCTGCCCGCTTATGCTAAAAATAATTTCCGAGAATTAAACGAGAGCTGATTGACTCTGCCCACGATATCGCTCGCTTTACCATCAAGTATTTGTGAAACGTGTTTTTCCGCGTCGATGACGAGCGCGAATGGTTCTATCGGTTCTCCCGCGAACGGTACTATTTACTTTTAATTACTCGACCGGTTAATTATTGACGCTCCCGCGAAGGCCCGACATGATCGTCGCGCGACCCCTCTTTGCGCGATCCAAACAATCGTAACAATGAGGCGGCTCGTAGCCAAGGGTGGCCCGCTGGTCCGCACAGACGCTAACCTACCCCCCCCCTTCCCTCGTTGCGCCACCCTAAGGTAGCCAATTCTATCGACCGAGGCACATCAAAGTTGCACGCGATACGGCTGCACCCTCTCTACCCCCTTTTGCATCGAGGGGCGGAGAGACTGGCTTTAATATCGAAGAAAATTATGTAATCGGTAGCCGTTACGCCCTCGCCGCGGAAGGGGGAAATTGATCGCGCATGCAAATAAAGTGCCATTATCCCGTAGCGCAGAACCGAGCGTGTACACGACTGGATCTCTCCTCGAGGGGGCTGGATGCCCCGAAACAGCCCCCTTGAATCCAGAAGTGAGTTCGATTTTCCTGAAAGCGACGATAAAATATAGATGGAAGATACCGCGCGCGCATGCTGCCGGAGGAACGTGATGCGATTTACCGCCTTAGACGCCGGCAGGCGTCTTACGAGAATCCCGAGTCATCTCGGACGTCCCTGGTTTAAATATTTAAAACGCGATGCCGTCAATCGAGATAGGACGTTTAAAGTGGACAGCTCATATTGATCGACGCATGAGTGTGCGTAGATGCAGCGAGAATAGAAATTACAGAATTTTACTTTCCAATGATATAAGTAATATATAAGAATAAATTAATCTCTTGTAAAAATAATAGTCTTAGTTAAAAAAAAAAAAAATTATGCAATTATCATAAAAGGATATGGATAAATTTATCAGTGGCAGTATTTGAAAGCATCCGCACAATACGCGGCCTCTCGGAAATAAAGATGAAAAATAGCTTCAGATACATTAGGTCTATCCGGTTTATGAAGCGTTATCAATAGCTTCGAAGAAAATAAATCCCGACACCCCTACGGAAAGCCACTTTTCAAACTGTCTTCGGGAGGAGGGTGAGATCCGTGCGCGTTTCCGATCTCGTCTCACCGCGTCCTGCGGGTAACGACGTGGAACTATTACGTTTTCGAAATCCGTCCTCTGAATTCGTATGCATTTTCGTCGCTGTCGTATATATTGACGTGCGAGGCACGTGTCGGGAACACGGCGTGCGCCAACGAGACACACATGATCCCGCAAAAGGGAGCTTGGACTCGAAAGTCACGTAGCAGGGTTACGACCTCGTATGGCTTTGACATTCTAAAATTGGAAGAAGCTTAAGAGTGTCAGGCGCTCCTCGCGCGACAGGCGGTTGAGGTATTTTTCGAAAAATTTTACGACCGCGGGGACATTTTCTACGCAGTATCTCGTTGCCGCAAAACCGCGCCTATACAGGAACTTGGTAATACTAAATATGCGATATATATATATATATATATATATATATATATATATATATATATAATTCGGTAAAGGAAAAATTGCCCGTAATTCAGATACCGCAGCGAGGTTTCCGCAGCGCGTCGCGTTTTATTACTACGCATCCGGTTTTATTTCGAGAATTTATTTCCTTCAGTTGTGCATTTACTTACATTATCCGCAACACGACGACGGTCGTAAAGCTCCGCGATGAATTTGATATTTGCGTAAACGCGTCCCCGCGTACCTCGACGACACTTGTATTTTTCGCGTAATTTCGCTTCGTGCGTGCCTTGCTAAATAATTGTTACATCGCGGTGCAATCTCGGTCGATCGTTTCAAACCGTTTCTCGCGCGCCACGCTTTTCGTCGACGAGTTCTCTTTCTTCCACCTCGAGCACAACGGCACCAATGTAAAATTATTATTCCGCTTGAAACGTGTTCGCGGCGCGGTGCTTTTATTACGTACGTTAATGGCAGCGATAATAATGATCGGAATCTTTATAGCCGTACGAAATAACGCGGAGCTGTAAAACGATAAACTGACGCGCTAAAGAAAACGAGCGCGCGAAGGAAACGAGCGTGTCGCCGGTGTAAATGGAGAGGAACCTTAAAACTTTTCTACGACGCTCGTAATATTTAGCGACGCGCGGACGTTTAACACTTTACGGTGCTTTTAGGCTTCTTTTGTCATCACAAAAGAAGTCTCACGTACAAAGTAAATAAAAGTTACGACGTTAAGGATTCACAAGAGAGCGGTGCGGTCAATCGGGTTGCTCGATATATATATTGAAAATTGCTCGCAGATTTCTTACCGTTTACGATAATAAACGTTTAATGTCCCACTTAGGAAAGAAATTTTCACATGACTTTTCTTTCGCGTCTCCTTCTTGCTATTATTTCTTCCATGACAAAAATAAATAAAGGAAAAGATAGGAAAATTTAAAAATTCGCAATGTGTGATTCTATTATAGCGAATCGTCAGATGGATGTTGCCTTATATGTCGGTCTAACGGTCGCCTGTGTGGTAATTGGTGGCTTGGCGATCTTTCTGGCGAGACTTTTGCGACGAAAAGGACGTGATCACTCCTTGTATTCCATGGCTCGTAATGGTAAGCATTTCAGAGGTAAAAACAAACCAAAGGCGAAATCAAAGGCGAAAATTATACATTTTGCCATGTTAAATTCTAATTATGTGAACGTAAAATTTATTTTTACAAAAATTGAAATGTTTAAAGTTATGAATAATTAAATACACGAGTAAAACAAATATTTGTATTGTATTATTCATATCAGAAATTATTTTCTCATGGTACTTCATTATCACGCCGAAAAACGTTGTCAATTCCTCGTATGTCTTTCGCGATTAGAATTGGGCAAGATACTATTTCGAGATAAATAAAAATGTAATACAAGAATATTAAATTACTTTTAAATTTTGCAAATATGAATAACTAACCAGCTAAATCATTAAGTGAGCAAAAGCGAAATATTGTTAAAATACTAATAACGAAATAGATCCAGCTACTCAATTAACGTATCGTATCGTAATACTTAATTTCTTTTCCAATGGCTTAACATCGCGTATGAATGAAACGCGTAAAATCTCTCGTAGCCCATACGTAGAATCGGAATAGTATCTCGGCGGCGTTTGTCCGCAGCGCGCAGAGATACCCACGAGCCGTGCCTCGGCCGTGTGCGTTTCAGAATTCCAGCCGGAGTTCTTCCCGGATCAGGACAAGAAGCTGAGTCTGCAGCCGGACGTGACGGCGACGAGTGTGCCGGCCTGCTACGAGTATCCTTTCGACCCGAAGCTGTCGATGTCGAGATCCCTCTCGGAGCACCACTACGACGTCCCGCACCTGTCGATCGCCCCGCAACCGTCGCCGATGTCGCCCACGCCGAGCACGTCGACTCAAGAATCCTGCAGCGACAAGCAGATCCATTCCGACAGCGAGAACAGCGTCACTAGTTCCTACCCGTCCTCGGATTCCACGTACAACGTCGCCTCGGAGAGCGTCCGATTGCCGAAGCTGGAGACCGGAAATGTCGCCAGAGCGGCGGTGAACACGCGCGGCGCCCTGCTGGTCCTTCCGGACTCCGGGATCTCCATGTCGGTGCCCGAGGGAGCAGTTCCCAAACCGCTGCGGGAGGAGCTCTATCTGGCAGTGCTCAATGAGGATCGTTACAGGCCCCGATTACCCGGTGAGTGCAAATTATTCATGGCGTTGCGCCCCGCGGGGGGTAGATGCCTGAGCTTTACGATCGCAGCTGCGAACTTTCGCGGTATATGTTGAGACTTTCGCGATAGCGCAATGTTATTTTTATATCAGCGCCGTTTCGCGCACGTGCTTCGTGCGAGTTATAGCCTGCTTGATTTGAGGTTCAATATAGGGCATCGCCACATCGACTCTTTTGTGTGTTGGAAACATCGGGGATAAAACCGATGTAGGGGAAAAAAAAAGAATTTGATAGTTTTTGATTTACTTCGATTTACCCTTGATTGAGAAAAACATGTATATTAAGTATATTAAATACAATTAATCAAGTCAATTAATGAGTTTAATATGACGGATATTGCAATAACAACAACGGTGATAACGTAACAATAACGGCATTAAGTTCGATAATTCATATCGCGTTTGTCCCGATATTATTTCTGCCGTCCATTCCGCCATCGTTCACACCATTCGAATCTCGATCTCGTTTTTTCCCCACAGACGGGATAACCCAGTTATCGGCTGTGGTGACCTGCGGACCACCGGGCGCGTCCTTCAACAAGCCTGTGATCCTCCAATTCGAGCATTGTGCCATGTTGCATCCGGCAACTTGGGAACTGAGCATTTGGGCGTGTGACGGTATTAACGTAGACGACGGTTCGTCATCGATCGTGCCGAAAGACCATCAGTCAATTACATGGAGTAGAGTATTGACTCTAGGCAACGAGACTATCAATACACCGCTATTCACGCAGCTCGATCACGCGGAAGCTTTCATCGTGACCGAACAGCTCCGCGGTTACGTGTTAGCCGGACAGAGTTGCGAAAATTCGATCGCCACAAAGAGATTGCGATTGATACTCTTCGCCAGCCAAGCCGGCCAGTGTTGCGTCAGAGTTTACGCCGTGGAGGACACGAGGGCAGCGATGAAGGCCATCGTCGATCGGGAATCGCAGATCAGGGGCTACATGCTGGACAAACCGCGCACGTTGCTGTTTCAAGACAACGGGGAGTCGCTCTGCGTCAGCCTCGAGGAAGTCGGGAACGAGTGGCAGAGCAAGTCGCCCACGGAACGCCAGGAAGTCCCATTCCGGGACGTCTGGAATCGTCAGGAGAACGCCAAGCACGTGACCTTCGGCCTGGACACGGCTTTTGGCCCGACCACCACGAAGAGCTACAAGCTGCAAGTCTCGCAAGGAAACTCCGACACGAGACAGGTCTTTAGAATCGTTTACGACGGCGCGAAACAATTGATCTCTTCGGGTAGTGTCACGAGACCACTCAGGGAAGTCACCGTGGTCAGCAGCGGACATGCCAATAACGCCACTACAGACTCGACAACTCTGCGACCGTTCCGATTTACGAGATCCTTGAGGAAGCAGCTCTGCCAATGTTTAGATCCGCCGAACGCTCTGGGCAACGATTGGAGAATGTTAGCGCAGAGACTTCAAGTCGACAGGTTAGTAACCCGGCCGACAACTTTCCGCTTTGCTTGTTATTCAGAGTAAAGCTTCTTTAAATACGCAGAGTTATATTTATGCGGACTATGAAATACATTCACCAAATGCGAAGACGTTTACATACGCACAAATCAAACAACATAGCAATACTAAATGTTTATTTTAACAATAAAATCAAATAGTCTTTTTTAACATGCAGTTTAACGTGCTTAATCGTCTATATTAATTTTTTCGCACCTTCGGCACGGTTAATTTTAAAAGTTATAATGTCAATAAAATCTATGAACAAAGTTTTATTCATTCATTCCTTGTTGTATAAACTTTTCCTAAACGTGCTTTATTTTGCCGGCGCGATATATGCGCCCTGTGCCACTTTCTTTGCTAATTATCTAGCCGGTATCTTCGTGTACAACAGGTACATCAATTACTTCGCGACTAAGGCTAGCCCGACCGAGCACATTCTGGATCTATGGGAGGCGAGGCACCGGGAACCAACGGCGGTGACGGATCTGTTGAATCACCTTAGAGTAATGGGCAGAACCGACGCCGCCACGATTCTGGAGGCGCAGCTCGGCCCGTGGCTTTGAATAAACAGAAAACGGATCTTGGAAAGCGTTTTCAGCGGTGAGTGAAAGTCGAGACCGTCGTTGTACGCCCACTCACGTGGGACGGGTGATCAGTGAATCAGTGTGTAATCGAACGGCGACCGATAAACTCGAGACCGATCGGCGAGTGAAATGGATTGCCGGAATGAGTGCAAGTAACAGAGTGATGACAAAAGGGGAGCAGGAGAACTCGTCCGTTCTCCGAACGGACTCATCGAAACACGGCCTTAATTGTGCGCGACAAACGCGTCGGTATTTTGTAAATAAACGCGAGAGTTTGTGGGAAGCCTGAGGATTCCAAGAGAAGATCCCATTGGGCGCGCTAAGGATTACGGATCAGGAAATGCTCGTTCGAGAGTAGAATGGTCCGTAAGAGAAAACCGTATATAATTGTGACGAAATAATTAGGGACTGTGCATTTAGACGGACGTACATGTACATACATACTAAAAAAAAAAAAAAAAAATCGCGCGCAGATGGATATATCCATTTTAGATGGATGTTTATATATATAAATATATGTTATATAGATATATATATATATATACAGGACACCAAGTAAAGTTCGATCGCGGATCGATCAATATCCGCGACACCTCGACGCGACAACGTAATTTTTTATCGATTTGTTAACACAAATGCACGCGAGCACGAGCGAGTGGTTATTATTTTTCAGAAAATCGTGCCAAAATTACCTCGGTTTCGTAAGCGTACACTTCCGTTATTGTTACATCAGAGTTTCGTGAAACACCGTATGTCCTTTTTATGCGTGACGACAATACAGATCGCGGTACACGAGGGGGTTGGGGCGCGTCGTGTGCGCGCTGCTCGCGAACGGAGCAACGCGCGATCGCATAAAACGAGTTAATTACGACAGAGATGATTTAAATCGACGATTTATTTGAGAGAATTGTATATTTGTTACTTTCGACGAATAAAATATTCTTGTATACCTCAGAGTCAAATTGTCGTTCGTTCATTTGTCATTATTGTATCCGTCCGATTCCCATCCCTCCCGCAGTCGAGTAAAATATTCCATCTATTTATTTACGTTCCATCTGTTTATTAATCTGCAAAATTTTGTCTTGCCGCTTATATTTGCTGTGACATACCTTCAAATATTTTACTTCACAACAGATAGGGGCACATTTATTTTTATTTTGTTTCAAATGATGTCACCTTTAAAGAAAAATTAATGCAAACGCGCGACGTAATTCCTAAAATCCACGTAGCATTTTTCGACGTGAAATCTCATATCAAGACTGCTGATGCTGTAAAGAACGTTGCACCGTAATAACTCTGCAAACATACTTTATCGGCATACTGTCAATAATTTTTTGCCAGCGGAGGAACATCCTTCTTGGCCGGTATTAAAGGCGCACCTTCACTCGTGCGAGCAAGGGCTGTATATTACTTCAATTTCAGCTTGTCTCCGGACGTTCGACAGGGACAAGATATTCTATCTTCCACCTCCTCGATCCCGACTGTGGCGGCCTTCCTCGATTTTCTCTCGTCGAAAATAGGTACGTACTTTTGCGGAAGTTGAAGGAGGCGGAAATAGGTGACAATGGACGTCGAGCGTTGCAATTTTGAAATGTCGATACCAGTCACGCGTGCTCCCCCCTCTCTCTCTCTCTCTCTCTCTCTCTCTCTCTCTCTCTCTCTCTCTCTCTCTCTCTCTCTCTCTCTCTCTCTCGCTCTCTCTTCGTTCTCTGGTTCCAATTCCTACTACGAAACTTTCTCAAGACTCGACAACTCTTTGTCGATATCTAGTGTCGATATAATTCACTTATCACATGCTGTGCCTCGTAACGACATAACTTTTAAAATCCTAGGACAAACATTACATTTACTGTTTGGAAACGACCGATCTCTTTTAATTCACTTTTAAAGGAGCAAAGGAGCTCTGCAAGATTTCTTTAAATAGACATGAATTTTACATCAGAAAAAATATACATGTTTAATTTGTAATGTAATACAAAATATAACACTGACTTCAAGGTATATATTTTCCCGTGGCATTCTACGAACGAGATTCCATTTTCATTGAATTATATAAATAGAATATTTATAGATTTTTAATCATTAATTGTGAATCTGAAATTAAAATTGCGAAACTAATAAGGAGGAAATATGACGGTTTTAAGTGGATAATTTTTATCATTAAAAATTAATAGATTAAACCGGCAATACGGATCGAGTAAAATCATCAATAATATATAAAATTGAATTTTTTAATCCAAGAAGATGCTCTGTTAATTAAATGGAAAGTTAGTTTACCTGACGCATATGTCTGTGAGGGCACGTAACATTTAAATGGATTGAAACAAAAACGTTACAATAAATTCGACGGCCGATCAGGGAGCTCGATTATCGAAACCAACGTTTCCATCGTATTTGTACGTGTTAGTACGGTAAATTAAACTTTATCTGATTCAATAAATGCTTTATATATATATATATATTCTGCTGAATTGTGGGAAACTTTCATCGTTGTGCTGGCGATGCGATGTGCCGGAAATTAAACGGGTAAGGCGGCATTCGGTGATGTGGAATGGGAATAAGGGCGAGAGAAAAGTACTTAAACTTTTTTTTAATCACAGTAAAAATGACAGACGTCAAAATTAATTTTTTAAAGCGCAATTTTATAAAAATGTCGACCACATGTCAGATAAATTATTTAACTTATCAGATAGGATCTTTTTATCATAATATATTTTTTAACACAACGAAAATATGCTGTGTATATGTATTAGAGTAACGTGAAGCGAGATTATTTTTTAACGTATCAAACGCGACTTTTTACTCGATGAATGCACACTCTTTGTAAACAAGTTGATCGTTCATCATCTCTCTCTTCTCTCTTTTTCAGCTTAACAAATATTTTCTCTCCGTTTTTTTCAGCAATATCAAATAGCGATCGCTAATTTATTACTCATAAATGAAAAACATAAATAAACTCGAGTTTTTCATAAAAATATTGATCAGACGTTCAATTCTAACAAAATTTATCGAGTTTGTTACGTAGTATCGAACAAATTAAAACGAAAAAAAAAAATAATGAATAGCATACGTCTATTCAGGAATTAAAAATGCCCGGCAATGAAGAGGCCGCTGAGCAATTCTATTTCTTTTTTCTTCTCTTTCATTGTTCTCCGCGAGATCGTTGCGTAAACGTAACGGAATGCACACAAGTGTTTTTCAAGTGCTCCAGCATGTCGGAAAGACTAAGCGCTATAAAAATAGCTCAAGAGCAAGACTACTTCCTCACCGGATAATACAAGTGAACTGATACTTTAGAACATACTTTGTTACTCGCATGATAATCAATAATCCATCGACGTTATTTCATTCCATTCGTTCAGGTCGCACTTCTCTTGCATTTTCTCGTACATTTTAACAAAATCTAATTTTCAAAAAAACAACATTTTAACAAATTTAATTATTCAAAAAAATCTTTTTTTTATTTCTTCTTTATTAAGATTATCATTACTTCAATGAACAAAATTACCGACAATAAAATTTCGTTTGCTTCGTGGGAACCTTCGTGTGATTTGTACGGATCGAAGAATCGTGTAGATTCTCGCTTATTACGGAGCGGCGTGAAGTATCGGATCACGTATCGCATATCGCTCGCCATTCGAAAGACACGTCAATGACGCATCGGCATGTCGAATCCTCATTGAGAATACGCCTGTGAAAATAAGCGTTCCGATTCGTTCCTGTCGTGTTGAGGCGCTGGACGGACAGAACCTCTCGTCTTTTTTTCACTCGGGTCGGATGTTCGCGTGGGTATATACGAGCGGTCTATCCGGCCGCGTTAGAGCGAGAAGGTGGAGAGATAGGGCGTAAATTATAATAAAGCCGCGCACAGCGGAGATCGCAGCTTTCGAGCGTCTCTCCTCTCGAGCCGGCCCGTTCATGCGCGTCGGTGCTGCGTCGACATTAATGACTTATTGGCATGTTGAATCATCATTAAGAGGCGCGGAGCGCGGCTCCGAACGCGCGCGCACTACGATTTCTTTCTTTGGCGACGAGGCTTCGGCTTCAGGGTCGCTTTTTTCCATTGTCCGAGGCATGCCAGTCGCGTCGCGTGCGCGGATGCTCGCCCGTACGTTTCTTCGTGACAGAAAGTGCAAGTAATAACACGCGTCGCGGCCGGCCTCGTCATTATTTTCTGCCGTTCGATCGCGCGCGTGTACGCCACGCGTGTGTTCTGGTCACGGCACGGGTGTATCGACGTGCAAATGACACGCTAGACGGACGCCAGAAATCGCCGTATAACCTGCGCGTGTATCCGTCCAATCGAAGGCTCCCGCCTAGGGATATCGTGTCGCAAGAATTTAAATTCGTATCGAAGGCGAGAGCACGAAACGGGCATATCGCGCGCGCGATAATTTTCCACGCGTGTTACGCGCGAGAGGTGGTTTTTTTTTCTGCTGATGCTTTAAGTGGAAAAATGTTTACGCCGTCGTAACGCTGCATTTCCTATCGACGGTTTAACGTACGCGATACTTAACGATACGACGTATATACGTATATATATATAACTCTCCGACACTGCAGGAATGCACACTCGCATTCGCCGCATTCGCATAGATCGCGTTATAATGCGTTACACCTTCGTAAACTTCGTGCGCACTCAAGCCGCGTCTATTATTATTTGCGGCGAGATAAACGCCCGCTCAAGATCCCCGTATAAACATTCTGACGATACCATTGGCATTTTGTAGATTAGCGTTTCAATGATCAAAGATGAATAACGGTTCCGCAGGATAGTAAATTCGAATAACTTATGTGTGAGAGTGACGTGTTGCAATTCTTGAGAGATCATAAGTGAAAGTAATGGGAGAGTAAGGGTGGATATCGTAGCATATTAATAGAACACATAATTTTAACAGAGCATATAAAAATAGCAATATATTCGACAGTTTACAATATTGTGGATGATAAAATTCATAGATTTTTTTAGGCTTTTATACTGATGTTACAATATCTTTAGAAAGTCCAGCGATGTGATGTAGAACACGTACAAACAACTTTATTGAAATATCGAATGTAAAAGTTTTTGAAAATAAATATGTGAAAAACAGAATCAACGTGAATGTCAAAGACAAATATGTCAGCTAATTATATAATATTACGATTGGACAATAATAAATCTTGATGACTTTGGTTTTAGACAAAATGCGACAAGTACCAAGTATCAATCTCAAAATCAATAAGTAAAAAATAAAAAGGCGCGTTGTCAATGACAATTAATAAACATTTCTTTACAAAGGGCAACACTATAATTATATGAATCAGATTGTCTTATATATCCTTGATTCCCTTCAGCTCCCTTCCAGCGAGCATTCGAAACATATGCGAGGAATTAAATTTTTTTTCTCGTCAAATAACAAAAAACAAATTATAAATTGTAGAGGAACAATCTTTAAAGCATGATAACACACCTAACTGCAGAAATGAAAAACGGCATGTTAGCCATGTCGTTGATAACTTTAGTCAACATTATTATGACTTTCGAGATATATTTATGAAAATTATGCAAAGATATGCGCAAGGTGTAAAAAGGTATAATATAATGATATCTTTACGTAAGTGCGTAACGCGCCCGATCATTTCGCAAGATAGGCGTCGAAAGGCACTTACCGATGATTTACGGCGCCATCTCGTCACCTTCGATCGCCCGAAGAAACCTGCAAATTTTTCACGATCTTCGCCTCGAACGGCGCGGCGGGCGTGCAAAACGCGGTGTCTGCGAAATCCTGTAAATCCCAAAAAGACACGTGTAAATACGTGAGACGAGGAAGATTACGCCGTGCCTCGCACGGCGCGTTGAGAAACGGTGGCGTTTCAACGATCGCGGATGCATAATACATCGAATCTCGCGTATCTATATCCCCATGCCAGCGACACGAAGACGTATTTATTGCAAACTCAATTGGAAAATGCCATGG